GCCAAGTGACAACCACGAGGCCTCGGTTGATTCTCCGATTCACCCGAGACCCCGCGCCACACAGCCTCCGATGAGGTGCCGACTCTTCGCCTCACGGAGGCCCCCTCGCCCGAGGCCCCAACCCACAAGGCCTCGGACGAAGTACCGATTCTCCGCCTCGCTCGAGGCCGGCTCGGCAACGACCCGTCACCGCTGCCTCGACCGACTTCTCTGACAAAACGTCACGTCCAATTAACGCGTCTAACCACTCCCGTAATGTCAAACGCGTGTCGGCACAGTACAACGGAGTGGCCGATGGGACGGGAGTCACATCGACGCCATGCGATCGAGGGGCGAGGCAGGGGCGGGGTTACCGCCATCGTGTTTCAAGATCAGCACCCCTATCGACGCCCGATCTTGCCTTTGGCTACCTAACTCCTGCTCCAAGGACAACGTGGCGTGGAGAGTCAGGTCTGGGTCCCTATAGCCTCGAAATCAACGTACAAAGACCAACCGCTCCCTCTGAGCCTCGGCGTCCCGCCTCGACACCCCTGTAGCCTCGGCGTCCCGCCTCGACACCCCTGTAGCCTCGGGACTCGCGCCCGCCGAGCCCCCCACAACGGTCCAACCTCTGCACTGTCTGGGCCTCGGCTCTCTACGTTGTCGGCACTCTAGGACCGACACATCGTCCGCAGTACACACCATACCCTGCGCTGTGCTGCACCCACATCACGCACAGGGCCAAACCCCTGTATCCTCGGAATCAACACACCCGCGCCATCGCAACAGCCCGGCCTCGGCACTCCACGCCGGTCAAACATACAGCAACCAGTATGCCTCCCGCAGGAGAAGACGCGTCTGCCATCACAGGAGCTCCCACGTCTCACAGGACCAAGCGTGACCGACACGTCGCTCCAGTGCACCAAGGACAAGACCGCTTCATCGACCATGCCGCCATAGTGACAAGCTATAGGGCTCGGCACGCCGCCTCCGCTCACAAAACGCCACGTAGCAATCCATGTACCATCCCCGTGCCTTCCTTCGACTATAAAAGGGAATGACTGGGGCCGCTTCTAGGGAGATAGGGAGAACAGATCGAAGACCACGCTCACACACACGCGCAAGCAACACTCTGTAACACACGCTCTTCCTCACTGCGAGAGATCAACATCTCAAGCAACCCACGCCGCTCCACGCAGAGACCTGGGACTAGCTCTCTCTCTCGCCCTGCTTGTAAACCCCTACTACAAGCACCTCGGTGCATGGAATACATGATCGCTCTCTCGGACTGGAAGTAGGGCACCTATTGTCTGAACCAGTATAAACCTTGTGTCTCTTTGCATCACCATCCGGGATTAGAGGGCACGCAGTTCAAATTCACTAGTTGATTGAGGACCCCCGGGTCTAAAACACCGACAATGTCTATTTGACGATCATTTTTGTCAAAGAATTACTTTCCTAAGAAAGTCACCACTTCCCAGTTAGTACAATGCTTTGGTTAGAATACATTAACGACCTATTTGGATAATGCGGTTTTTAAAAACTGTAGTATCACAAAACTGTTTGTTTATAAGCCAAAGAGACACAAAATTGTAGTTTAGAAAAAGAGGCCATGAGTGGAGTTTCTAAAACTCCAAATAGACTATAGTTTTGACAAAACTATGGTTTTAGAGACTATAAGATTTGTTGTATCCAAACACCAAGTAGCTTTTAAAAACCAAAAGTATAAGACGATGGTATTTTTCTAATAATTTAAAAAACTTTGCATCCAAACAGGACCTAGAACAAGTGTACCATGCAAGCCGATCTCTGTTTCCAAATACTTGGTACATTGATATTTTATCATACAAGAATATTTTATAACTATTTAAATAACCTTTATAATGGCAATCTTTAGTTTCTGAAATTTGGGATCCATAAACGATCATACATATTTTATAACATAACCTTTATAATGGCACTTTAGTTATTCATCTAGAAACATATCACCATGGTAAGGGCAGTCCCAATGAAAAAAATTGGTAGTTTCTATAACATAGGATACCACACAAAAAAAGTACTGCTTTCCAACCCATGGTTTCTATGAGTAATAATTATTTTCTTTTTCTCTCTCCCAACATAGGATACGAGCCTCCTAGAAACTGGTGGTTTCTCCCCAATGACGATTTTATGGTTTCTTGGTGCATTGAGTCAAGAGAAGACCTAATTTCTTCATGAGGAAATCATTTCTAGGATTTTTTACTCTCTTTCTTCATTAATTACGTTGCCATATCGTCATTTTTTACCTACGTGGCAAATCATTTAATGAGGATAGAAACCATCATCAATACACCATTGGGACTGCCCTAATCATGCTTTGGTTAGAACTGTGATGTGCTTTAGGGGGGTTAGTGCTCCTTTTCTCTCTTATATAATAAATAAACACTTAGTCACCTACTTTATTGTTTAGGGCGTGTTTAGTTTCCAATTTTTTTTTGGGTTTGGCTACTGTAGCACTTTCGTTTGTATTTGATAATTAGTGTCTAATTATAGATTAATTAGGTTCGAAAGTTTCGTCTCGCGATTTCTCACCCAATTGTGCAATTAGTTTTTTTTCCGCTTATATTTAATACTCAATGCATGTACTGCAAGATTCGATGTGACACTTTGAGGTGAAAAATTTTGAAAACTAAACAGGCCGTTAGTATATAATGACCTTTTGCTTCGGTAAAAGAGGAAGGAAGCATCGTTGGGGGTAAAATTAAGTACTATTTACCAGTGTGGGTAAAAATATTTGCTTCTTTTATAATTCATATTTTTAGTTTATTTTTTTTTATAGAACGATATTTTTCTTCTCCGACAAATCAGCGGTAATAACATTTCGGACGTGCCCGAAGGAATGCGCCGAAGCGAGAGCAAGCACACGCGAGGCGGCAGGGAAGGCGAGGGGCGCGGGCCCCACCGCAGCTGTCTCCATTGGTGTCGCTGAGCAGTAGTGCGTCAGCGTCGCTTCCCCGATTATAAGTAGCGTGGCCAGCTACCATCTCCCCAACTCCGCCTCCCACCCCCACTCCTTCGTTCACCGAGAGCCAGAGGGGCTGCCAAAGCCGAGCCGCAACCACAAAGATCTTGCCTGGCCTCCTTTTCTCCCAGCTCGTCACTGTGCCGCTCGTGCCCTCCACTCCCCCGGTCCTCCACACCAATAATCCATCCACCACCACCCCGCTGCGGCGATGTGCGGCGGCGCCATCCTCTCGGGTTTCATCCCGCCGTCCGGAGTGGCGGCGGCGGCCGCCAAGAAGAAACAGCAGCGGCATGTGACGGCGGACCTGCTGTGGCCAGGGCCCGGCAAGAAGGGAGCGCCCCAGGAGGAGGACGACGACTTTGAGGCCGACTTCCGCGAGTTCGAGCGCGGCCTCAGCGAGGATGACGTGGACAGCGCCGGCGAAGGCAGCCACGATGAGGTCCAGGAGCTTCCTCCGCCGGAGCCGGCGAGGTTTGCCTTCGCCGCCGCGGCTAAGGCGCCGCGCCCTGCAGTTGGTGAGCACTGAACACCGCATTAAAGTCGCTACTTTTTTTTTTCTCGTTATATATGGCACGCACACTGCTTAAGTGCTTAGACGGGCGAAAGAAAGATGACCTCTTTTGCGGCGCTGTTTCTCGAATCTCCTTTGGATGATGAGGAGAGAATCGGGGTTCCATGGAGCTGCGGGTGCTGCCAAACAGGGCTTCTAGGTGCAAGACGAAAATTTTATCTTCCATTCTTTTGGTTAGCCTTAGCCATGGAGTGGGCAAAGCTGTTCAGGCTTTCAGTGGGAACTGATGGCTGCCTTGGTACTTCGTATGCAATCCGCTAGCTGCTCTGTCTGGAGTAACATATTATGCTACAAATGGAGGAATTATTTACTACTAGTTCTTAAGGTAGTCCATGTGCTTTGCTCTGTGTTGTCTATATCATTGTGCTAACTCCAGATTTAAGCAAAGCAGATTTGTTGATTATTTTTTATGATTAACATAAATGATCTATTGAACAATTATGAAAATAAGTACATGTCTTGTTAGGGTATGTTGAGTTTAGTTGTATTCAGATTGAGCGTCATACTCAGACTGATGTTTAGTTAATTTCAGAATAATTTCTGGAATTTTTCCTTGTTAACTGTTATCTCCTTCCAGATGGTTAGCTTTAGTTCTGAACTTCTTTATCTGTCAATTTTATTGTTTAAATCCAGGTTATGCTAATTTATTTATTTTTTTTTTTTTTTTTTTTGGGAGGGGGGTGCCAAGACAAGAATTTAATTGCTTCTAATTTCTAATTTACATGTTCATGATTCTGAAGTTAATTAGTTAAAAAAGGGTATTCTAATCTGTGTTAATTGAAGATCTCGATGGATCTTGAAAGGTCACTGATTGCAATAGATCTTGAAAATTACTATATGTTCTTCCTGTAGTGCAACAAGCTGTTTTATTGGCAGCATATGCTCATGGGCAATTTTGTGTACCAGAGATTGCTTCTACTCTTCATTTGTCTGAGAAAAGGACATTATTTATGCTTCAACCTCTTTGTTGTTTGCTAACTATTCTCCAATTCAGCTACCCGAACAAGCTACCTACAAGTAGAGTACTTATTTGTTGATTACAAACAATTCATGCTAGATGTGGATGGTGTCCATCTCCTGGTCACCTGCTTTTTATCTGAAGATGTAATTTCGTGAATCTGGGACATAAAACGGGAAACCATGACTAACATATAAATCAATCTATTATAATACATAGATTCATCATCTATTGGAGTGGGGGATCTTTTTTAGATGCTGGGATAATTCAATAACAATATTGCGTACTAGATTACCATGCCTTCCGATAATAATTTGTCCTTATACCAATATTGATTGTATTTTTACTATCTGTGGCTAACTAGCTATTGTAGTTCTTCTGTATGTGTTATTATCTGCTCATACAAGTATATATTCACTTCTTTACATGCCTATTCCATATGTTTTGTTGAGATGGACTGATAGACAGCCTTTATTATAGATGGTGTGATGACTCCAAAGGATGTTCAAGGAGATAGACCTACTGCTAACTCGGTAAAGCGCAACCGGAAGAATCAGTACAGGGGAATCCGCCAGCGCCCTTGGGGCAAATGGGCAGCTGAAATCAGAGACCCTAGCAAGGGTGTCCGTGTTTGGCTTGGAACTTACAACACTGCTGAGGAGGCAGCTAGGGCATATGATGCTGAAGCTCGCAAGATCCGTGGAAAGAAAGCGAAGGTCAATTTTCCTGATGAAGTGTCAGGTGCTCAGAAGTCAACCACAAAGCCAATTCCTGCCAGTGCAACAAAGCTAGCTCCACCCCCAAAGGCATGTGCTGATGAGGTTTTCAATAACCTGAACAATGACAACAATGATTTGTTCGCAATGTTTGCATTCAATGACAATAAGGTTCCTGTGAAGCCAGCTGAGCGTTCCAGTTTCCTCCCTTCAGTGAATCCTCTGGTGCCCAGTAAGAGGTCTGCGACGAACATGCTCTCTGACCAGAGCAGCAACTCCTATGGCTCTTCTGACTTTGGGTGGGACGATGACACCATGACCTCAGACTACACCTCAGTCTTTGCTCCCAATAATGTTATACCAGCATCTTACATGCAAGGTGGAGTGTCAAAGAGAATGAGGAACAACTATGGTGTAGCCATGCTTCAGGGAAATGGCGCGCCAAGTCTCGCACAAGTCATGGCTGGTTTTGATCCTGAGATGAACTATCAGCCATTGCCTTATGTTGAGAGCAGCTCATCAGATGCATCAATGGATAGCCTTCTGCAAACTGATATTCCACAGGATGGGGCAAGCAATGGGGATATCTGGAGCCTTGATGAGCTGCTCATGGCAGCTGGTGCTTATTGAGAAGCTATGGTTATTATCAGTGTGGTGTGTTAACAGCAAAAAATGTAAGGCATCCATACTGGCTGTTTTGTTCATTTTGTTTTCCCTACACACATCTCTTGTAGAAGATCACTTCTGCCGTGAATGGAGCGTCTCATATTCGTTTTGTTTTCATGGCAGGTCTCCTGCCTGTGGTGATGCTGGAGAGGCAGTTGTATCCGCTACATTTTCTCGCGGTAGTTATATATGGTAGATTACATATATATGCTTTTGCCAGTTGAACTCTAGCTATGACAATGTTTATAGTATGTTGCTGCATGGTGCATCTATGATTGGAAGCGAGTTTGAGACTGATTCAATAATTTACCTTGCCTATGCCTGCTGGACTGTAGTGTGCGTACTGCATGTTATGTATGTATATATATATATGGTGTGCTTATACATTGCAATTCTTTGTCTGGAAGCACTCGATTTCGCTTTCTACGCAACATTTCTTTTCGGGAAATAGTAGGTGCCGGCCAAGTCTGACGATCTGTGGCACCAGAAATCGAGAAAGATCTGGATGAGTGATGTGCTGATGTTATGTGTGTATATATAATCAAGCTTGCTGATTGCTGATGTGCAGGCTTGGCTTGTTTGTCTCACTCAGCTGTTTGCTGGGAATAAATTAATTAAGTTTGTGTTAGATTCCGGCTGGGCTGGGGTTGTGTTGTTTGAGGGCCAGTGGTCAACGTCAAGCCATTAGCTGAACCTGGGCGGGTTCTGTGCTATAGTTTTATGCTCAAAGACATTTTTATGCTGCAGACGGATACTGGAACAGATAGTTTTATCTTGTGGACTGTGACCCCAAGCTGGGGAAGGTGGTGAACTGCCACACTGGATTTGGTGCCTGGTTTTGCTTTTCAACGTTGGCACTGAGGTATACAGCAGCCATAAACAAAGCCGAATTCTTGAAAACCTTTTAGACCAAAAACAAACTCTTGAATTGAATTGTAGTAGCTGTTAACATATCTTTTTCACCTTACATGCCTAGTGATGTTCTTTTGAGCAAGTGTCAATATTAATGCGACTGCAATAATTAAGGCTCCAGGGAGAGTCTGCTTTACCCCTGATTTATTGTCAGTATTTGAATGGAAAACTAGGGAGCAAATTGGCCAACTTGGGCCTCTGGCTGTTGCTTGTGCTGCCAGATGTGGTCATCAAGGAATTATTGCCATGGCGTCATTGTCAGAGCCTGCTCATTTTAGTTGCATTGCGGTTTAAGGAAGTCCGACCTTTCTCTGGCCACCATCCCAAGTGGGTTTCCGGAAAGTTCGACTCCAAACCTCGGACCATGGAGGGCAATAATTTGCGTGAAGTCTATACGACTATACCTCTTGCTCAACTTTCCAAGTCGTATATAATTTTAACGCTGAGCTAATAAGAAACCATGTAAATAACCTCTAAGCTAGTCTTGTTCATTGTTTTGTGTGTGTGTGTGTGTTTTTTTTTAATTATGATTGGTGTCACTGTTTTTCCGCCATCCATTTCATCACCTCTATTAATGTGGTGAATAATGTTTAGGTTGTTAACAAATCCAGGGCGTGTCAAAAGAAAACTGGATGGATTTCTTGTGCGATATATGTTTTGATATTGGGGAGGATTAAGACAGTGTATGCTTCTGTTGCCAAAAAGCAGAACGCCAACTAAATGGATAGAGCTAGAACTGTTTCATGTAGTACAATTTTCGCAGCACCTTAGATCTTACTTTTGGCTCTCATCTTTCAGCTTTTCTAAATGAGTGAAAAATAAAGTGACATTACATAGTTGTTTCAAGAAAGATAGAAAAGATGTTGATTTTATAGTTGTTCAACCAAACATCTTATAACATTTTCATATCACATAACTCACAACACATTTTTCACAGCTCATGGTAGAACGAAATAGATCCTAAGGCCCGACCGCTGAAGCGATTGAGGAGCGTACGATCCTGTCTTACTCCACACCAGCATCTTCGCCACGGTCACACCGGTTCTCCCACTATCCGTGAGACCGTAACCTACTTGATGCCTCCCTAGTGCCTCGTCTGCCCACCCAACCTTGCAGGCCCTTCCCATTCCACCACTAGCGGTCGCTGCTCTCAACACCTCGCCTCATCGATGGCCTCCCTTTTCCCACCATCGTCCCCTCGACCCACCCTCCCTTAATCACTCGCTCTCCCCTAACAACTCGAGGTGTGGCGTACCCTTGGCTAGCCCGCCCACCATCCTCCTGCTGCCTGCGGCCCACAGACGTGTCGTGGACGCCTCCCAAACCCCCCTTCTAGATTCGCCGGTGATTGAGAACCCTAATTTCAGATTCTTGTTCTTTGGCGACAACAAGGTCATGCGAGCGGGCGAACGCGTGGATCATATTGGGTTTGAGTTTAGGTTTGATATTACAACAAGGCAGGATGCCAGCATCCTTTGAACTAGGCAAATCTGAACATTTGATAGGGTAACATGAAAATTTTGTACTTGTCATCATTAATCTAATCTTGTCGTAGTGCAAACCGCAACTACCTCATAATTGTATCTAGCCTTAAAAGTTCAGAAGCAAAACCTTGACAGAAAATCAGTCCACCCTAAGGGATTGATTGGAACAACGTCCACTGGGGCTTGGATATTTTGGTCGATCCTCATCTTAATCTTATCGACTAGACCATTTTCACACCATTTTCACATTGAGACGTGAGAGTAGTACCTGTGCGTCATGGATGGATGAGGCTGGTGAGACGAGTACGAGAGACAAAACGTCGCGGCCTGGAGCACAGGGCCGTGGCCGTCGCGCGCAATGTGGGCCATGTGGCCATCGAGCACTTGGGCCCCCGCGGAAAAGGACCCTTCGGTTGGCTCGTCACTTGATTGCCACGGACGATGCATCCCACTGGCCCTTAGGTTCAATGAACTCAGCCTCCCCTCTCCCCCTCAGATATCATCAAACAAAGGGCAATGGGGTACGGCAGGCCACTTTTTGCCAGGTTACAAACAAACACAAGCTAGTATTATTCCTTCCACGAACGATGATGGACATGGACCCCCGGCTCTACGCTCTGCTAGCGAGCATCGGGTGCCATGCAATGCATCCAGCTGCGATTGCGAAATAATCGCCGGAAGCAATCTGTCCAAAGTTTGCAGATTTTCTTTTCTTTTTGGAACGAGTGTGCTGGATCGGGGGAAAGATTCGTTGGGGGTCAGCGTTCCATGAGCATTGAGCATAACCGTTTTGCAAATAAAAATGGGTCTTGTGAGGTATTAAAGCCCGTTTGGACGCCGCAGTAATCTGTGTATATATGGGGTAGGATTTGTTTTGCAGGAATTTCAATGTAAAACAGTTGTAGTATTTCCTGCAGAGAGTAGTTGTACGTGATCCTCGTATTCCAAAGGATCTAGAAATGGGCTAGGAGGGGGGCTAAAGGCGCGTTTGGATGGTGACCGCGCCACGCCGCAGTTTGGGCAGGCGTTTGCTTCGCTGCCACAGTTGTCGCATGCCACGGCGTCGCCGTGGTCATCTAGTTCATTTTTGCCGCCCAAACTTGCCAAGTGAGGTGAACGTTTTCAGCGTTGCACTTTCGGCGCGGCGTGCGGAGGTGTCATCCGAATGCGCTCTAAATTATAGAAGGTTAGAATTTTACTAGACATACACCCTTTGGAAGGCTAAAAATCTTGCTAAAAAACTTAATTGCATGGCTATGATTCTTTACTAGAAGGCTTTATCCAGAAATAGATTATTTGATTTGATTTTTCCATTCAGGCTTAATAATATTCGTAAGCTTTTTCAAAGATATCAAATATTGCATACCGCAATGCAATTATTAGAAGCTAGTCATTGACATTCATCAAACAAACACATGATGAAATGAAGAGTTGCTCCCTTAGAATTAGGCCCGCGAGGGGGGCTGCAGCCCCGACAGTCCCCCCTGTGCATCCGCCCCTGATATGCTATGGTGTACGTTCGTGACCATCAGGTTTGGAAGACTGGTTTGCTAAAATCATCGGGTTTGTCGTGTACCGATCAATCTCCATTAGATTTGCTTCGAGATTATCCGGGATTTGATTACCTAGACAACACACTTAGGCGTTGTTTAGATGCATGTGTATCCACTTCAATTCACATGTTTTGGAGTGAATTGGAATAAAACTTAGTTTAATTTCACTTCAACATATGTGAAACATGGCCTTAGTGTAAGAATGCCGAATGCGCACTATACACATATAAACTAAATATAGATCCATCGAATAACTGGCATGGCCATTGGATCGGAGGTTTTCTTAATGTTCTCGTCAACTAACCCAATCCTTAAGTACACTGCATCCGCCCACTGCAGCTTATCACTTTCCGGCTCCCCCCACATGTACGTAGTCAAGGACCCACTTGCTATATATGCACTGTTTCATCGGCACTGTATTGATGCGTATAAAATCCTGGTGTCCAGCTAACTGCTGTATTGTGTCATTTGCATTGCAAATGGGAGGCCCGGTTTGTCTTTCGGCAACATTTTCTTTTCCCTCTTCGATCACCACGTATATTTCTCTGTTGCCAATGGCCATCTATTGATACTTTTGGCTGAAAATCGTGGTACTATGTGTTGGTGGTACGGTAGGACTTGTACTAGTAGCTACTGGCTTGTTATTATGTTTCCCAGTATCTGACGTGCTTGATTGGGGCAGCAAATTTGTTGCGATTTCCTGGAGGTCGGCCGACGACGGATTGGTTAATTAACGCTCGTCAGCGCCTCAGACCCGAGGCCACGTACCGCCTATAGACAAGCTTGCATTGGTGTCGTGCATATCTGGTCAATCGACATCATGCAAGCTTTGATCGATTGCCATGTTAGTTTGTATCAAGGCTTGTGCAGTGGAGTTTATTCATATTTGATTGTTTATATAAACTCTTATGCAGGCCTGAACGACGTTCGAAACGGATCTAATACTATATTAGCTACTAGGACACTTGATTTGGTCATATTAGACAGGTTTTTTCAAGCTGATGCGTACAAAAAT